ATTTATTGATTTTTTCATTTGTTTCTTCTTGCTTCTTGCATAAGTTATTGATTTTTTCATCTATTTCTTCTTGCTTCTTACATAGGTAGTTGATTTTTTATCTGTTTCTTCTTGCTTCTTGCATAAGTTGTTGATTTTTTTCCTCCATCTGGTTTATGCACTCTAGGACCCTTATTCTGAATTCTTTTTCTGTCATGTTGCATGCCTCTGTATCACTTAGCTGCTTTTCTGGCGAGTCCTCCTTTTCTTTCCTTTGGGGGTTTCTTTGTCTTCCCATGTTTGATCTCACCGACATATCTAGACATTGAGTCGTTCAGTGGCTGCTCCCTGAGTGGCAGTGGCTCCTCTGGCTGTGGTTGCTTCTTGGTCATTTGTGGTAGCAGCTGCTCCTCCGTTGGCAGCAGCTCCTCTGGTGGGTGCTGTTCAGAGCTGTGGTGGCTCTTCTGGCTGGTTGGGGAAGGCTTCACGTACAGCTGCTATTCCTCAGACAGAGGGTGTGGTGCTCACGAGGCTGCTGTTGCTTGGATCTGTTGCGTTGATTTAAAGGCACAAAATACAACACAACAAGGCACCACATACCAGGCACTGAACACAAATATATTCACGATATTAATAACCCCAAATAAAGGTGACCACCCGAATTAAGAGAATTAGGGGATAAGGAAGAAAGAAGAGAAAAAGATAAAAGAGAAAAAAGAAAAGAAAAGTAGGGGGAAAAAAAGAGTGCAACAATGAAATTGGGAAAAAGGAGGGGGGGGGAGAAAAAGAAAGAGGAAAAAAAAGAGTGAAAAGAGAGAATGACGTAGAAGAGGGGAAGAGACTATTTATATGAGGAGAAAACTCCGATAGAACCGCCACTAATCCCAACAAATTCCAGCAACAGCTCCCTGGAGATGAATGCAAACTAGAAACAACCAATAATATCAAGAGAGGCAAGGGAAAACAGAAGCACAAAAATAACCGGGGGGGGGGGGGGGTGGAGGGAGGGAAAAAACCAGCAGAAAAAAAAAAGAAAAAGAAAAACAACCTCACAACCAGTCCTAACACACACACACACACACACACACACACACACACACACACAAAAAATATACTCAACAATCAGGCAAACAGCAACAAAACAGTAGAAAGATAAAAGAAGAGAAAAAAATTTTTGGATCTTGAAGAAAGGTAAGGGATATGTGTATAAGGATTTAGAGCAGTGGATTGGAAATTGGATATATAAGTAGGGTGAAATTTTGAGAGGAGGTAAACAGAAGGAATAGGGAAAATCTAAAGCAGGAATAGGGTAAGAGAAACAGGACAACAAAAGGGGAAAGTGAGGGAGAGGGTTTTAGCATAGAGGTAAAATTGAGGTAGGGAAAATTGATGCTAAAGGAACGATGAAAATAGAATGGAGAACACTAATCCCAAAATAAAATAAAGAGAAAATAAAATGGCACTTTAAAAAATGGTGAAATGGTAGCAGTAATAATACTGGTTAAAAATAAAAATGTAGTAATTAAAAGGGTAAAATCAGGTGATGGAAAAAGAAGAAGAAGAAAAAAAATATTGGTTTCTTAGTTAAAAGGTGAAAAAAGAAAAAAAATTTTGTAGTAGTGAAGGTCCTTCGGTTCTTCTACTCATCAGTCTGGCTCACCTTAGTCCTGCCAGGTATTCAGGAGAGTGTTGAATTTACCTGCGATACACTTCCTCTGTGTTGTAAACCACAGTCCTGATTTTAAAGCAGGCCGTATTTGTGTCCCAGACTGCCTTAATTTGTGTTTAGCTAAGAGTCAGTTTGTGGCTCAGCCTCTGGGTGGCAGTGTTTTTGGGTTGGCCTCCGAGGCTATACGGCTTCTCTATGCAGTAGCAAGGGTTTATTTTCTCTATTGCACTTAAAACTGGTTTGGGGAGGTCAACTGCCCAGAGCTGGTTCTTTAATCATTATCCTGCTCTGTGTTGTTGATGGGACTGAAAGTCCCTCTATAGGCCAGACCCTGTTAACTCCCAGGGACTGATCAGATTGTTTTAATCCTTGATCTCATTCAGGGTGGAATCTGGGTGTGGCTGTGCTCCTTGCCTGGGGGCTAGGTGGAGGAGTCCCATCCTCCGGAGAGAATGGCTGCCCTGATCCTGGCCCCAGGGGTGTCTCAGCACTCAATTCACTTCCACCTCTCCTGGCCCCCCCTCTCTCCTCAGCCTCTCCCCAGATTCCACTCATCTGCACCTTTTCCCTCTCTTCAGCACAGGTGAGTGTCTGTATCCGAAAAGTCTTATGAACAGGATTCAGTGAAAACAAACAAACAAATGCCGGCCGCGGAAACAGGGAAGGCTGAGTTTCTGTAAGCTCTTCTCTTACCGGCACTGCATGCTCTGGTCAGCTCTTCGGGCTGCCCCCTCTAGGCTCAGTCCTCCGTGATCACAGAACCCAGATCTCAAATTCCCCGGCGCCAGGAATCCCAAGGTTCTCCTTTCCCCAGTCAGGAGCTGTGCCTGTCCCAAGAGACGCAGCTGTCTGCCATGCGGTCTCCCTCTGACCCTCTGGGCTCAGAGGTCTGGCAAACTTTCCTGCCCAGATCCCTGGGTTTTTTTTACCTTTCCAGGGGAGTTCTGCCCTTCCTGGCTGCAAACTGTCTCACCAGCTGAGTAATTTTGCCAATTCCGGGTGGGTGTTATTGGTTTCAGCTGCTTACTCCATTTGCTCCGGGACACGACCTGGGAGGCATCTGCCTATATCGCCACCATTTTGTCTCAGTCTCTCTCCTCTTCTCATAAGAACGGGAGTCATATTGTCAAGGGTAGGGAAAAAAAAAAAAAGGAGACATATGTAATACTCTTTGTAATACTTTAAGCAATAAAAAAAAAGGAAAAAAAAAAGAACTGGAGTCATATTTGATTCAGTTATGGTCTTTTGATACAGGGGAGTGCCACAAAGCTATTAAAGAATGAGAGAGTGTTGAAGTGGCCAATCGTCTGCAAAATATGGTGAAGTTTAAAAGCTAGTGAGAAAATGGTGTGTCCAGTGATAGTTCATTTCTGTTGTAAGTATATATGTATCTACAATATACATAGTTAGTTTTTTTTTAAAAAAAGAACTGTAGGCACATACAACTGTTGTAATTAACCCTGGGAAACTGGAGTGGGCCCTCACCTAATCTATAGATTTATAGTGTGTTTAACATTTTTAACAGAGTTTTGTCTTTTTTCACTCATATATAAAAAGTTGTATGATGAAGGCTGGTGTCCCATTACCCAGCTTTAATAATCATCAGCCGATGACAGTCTCCTTCAGGCACACCCCATCGCCTTGTCCCCTCCCATATTATATTGAAGCACATCTCCAGCTCATGTCATTTCTTTCATAAATACTTCAGCCATGTCTCTGAAAGATAAGGGCTTTTTTTCTAAAGTAGCCACAATACTATTATCACACCTAAAAAAAATAATTCTTTAATATTATCAAACTCCAGTAAATAATTTTTAGTTATAAGAGCATTAATTATTTTTTGTAATAATAAAAAAAAGAAGAAGAAAACGTGTCAATGAGAGGGTAGATTGGTACAGCTTTCCTGGAGGTTGGGTTAGTGATGCTTCTCAAAGGCCTGAACAATGTGCTTATCTTTGGCCCAGCAAACCCAGCCCATGAATTTGCTCTAAGAAAACAAAATGAAAGAGTTGCACAGACACCTTGTCCCCAGAGTGTGCAGTGCCTGTTCCAGAGAAGTTGCTTGAAAAATATTTGTTGAATCTGAAGTTGAGATTCTCTGCAGATTTGCTTGTAAAAGAAAAACCAAAGCAACAGAAATGTATGGCATTCGGATACTGGCTAAATGAAGGCAGGTCCATAAAATAGAATATGGTTCTGGCGTTTAAAATTGGTTTGTAATGACACATGTAGACACTCCCCTCCCCGAGAGTGTGGCGTGGACTTCATGATTGGTGTCCAAAGAATATAGAACAAAAGGGTGGGAAATGGTACCTTTACGAGGGTGAGACCCAGCACATGCTCCCTACCTTAACATCAGGAGTGACACAGCATGTGGCTACCAGGCACCCCTCGATATAATGCAGTGAGAAGGACACCTCACCTCTGTGGTCTTCCCCGTAAACCGTAATAGACCAGAGGAGCTGAAGGAAACAAGTCAGGCGGAATGCATGTGGGGTCTGAATGCAATCCTGGAACAGGAAAAGAACATTTGTGGAAGAACTGGCAAAGCCCTAATAAAGGAAAAATCTGTGTGTGGTCTCATACAGTTTTTGCTGAATTAACTCACTGTTTTGTAAAAAGTTATTAACAAGGTATGTGTAGATACATGACTAGATCAGCATATATGAACATATACATGCACATGCAGGAAAACAGCAGCCTGGAAACATACACTTCCGGGCTTGGGTCAGAAGCCTCCAGGGGCAGCCAGAGAGAGCGGCAGTGACTGGGGAGCTGGAGTGTTCATGGTCCTTCTAAGATGGGCAGCAGCTGTGTGGCCCCAGCCAGTTGCTGGCCTATAGCTCTTGAACCCTGTCCTGACAGATCTCTTTTTCCAAAGCAAACTAAAAATCCTAGTGGTTACACAAATTTCCAGGGCTCACTCAGCTGGGGAAGGAGGGCTCCAGGTCACGTGGCCAAGGAAAAGCAGGCTGGGGCTGAAAGAGGTCGGCAACACCGGCCACCAGCTGGATTCAGCCCGCCGGGCCCCGCCGCCAGTGTCGGGGCCTGAGGGAGGGCCACTGGCCAGGCGGGGGGAGCCAGGGTGGGCAGTGGGGTTTGCTTGGACCCTGAATGCCTGGGTTCTGACCTCTGGTTCCCCAGATCACTGTGAGGGGCTGCGTGTGTGTGTGTGTGTGTGTGTGTGTGTGTGTGTGTGTGTGTGTGTGATGGATATAGCATTGCTTTGGGGTTCTATGTGCATGTCCAGGTGGGTTCTGACTGTCTTCCAGGGCATATATAGGTGTGACTATATTATGTGTCTACATGTGTACTGGCATGTTTACCTATGTGTCTGTGACTGAATGCACGTATGTGTGAGTTGTACAGATGCATCCACCTGTGTGTCTGTTGCATTGTGTTTGCTTGCATGCCCATTGTCCGGACAGGTGTTGTAGTTGTGTCCATGCCTCTGTGTGAGCCTCTGTCAGTGTCTGTAGCTGTGTGTGTGTGTCTGACTGAGTGTGTGTTTGTGTGAATGTGTGTGTGTGAGTATTGGGCGCTGGAGGTCAGGGTCAGGGTTTAAGTCACTCACAGTTAGCACCGGCTTCTTGACTCCTTGTGCTGGTTCCTGTAAGTCCTTATAAGAAGCATGTGGGTCCCAGCTGCCTTGCTAGCTTTCAAGCTGGAACCACAGGGCGAGGAAGGCAGGAGTGGGCTGTGCCCGGAATCCACTCCTGGTGACACGCACATCACAACTGCCAGCCTGCCCTGGCCTACTCCTAAGCCCCATGACCTTGCCGGCCAGGAGTCGTTTGATCCAGGACATGGCTCCACATCGTGTCACCACTTCATCAGCTCCCACTAACTACATGAAGGCCATTTGTTTATAACCCGGCCTGATTCGACCCGTCCCCAAACAAGCTTCGGGTATAGGAAGCCTGTCTCGTCGCCGTTCTTGTGATGTAACTGGGGAAGGCGGGGAAGGTGTGGGGATCGGGAGATGGGTAAAAGGGCCACAGGGGCCCTTGGATAACCTCTGGTCCAGTCCCCACTCTTAAAGGTGAGGACACTGCGCCCAGAGAGAGCAAGATCCTGACCTGAGGCCACAGGGATCCTGGAAAAACTAGCACTTCCTACAGAGAGCTGGGTGGCCCCAGGTTCATGGTCACCGGCGTCAGCCACTCAGTCACTCCACAGACGTGTGCTGAGCTTCTAGTGCTAAGCCCTGGGATTCTGGATGAGACAGGCACAGCCCCTACTCCCATGGAGCTTCTACTCTATTCAGAGAGACAGACACTAAACAAAGGAACAAGACCATGTCAGGCCGTGCTGAGGGTTTGGAAATACAAGCACACCCTGTGACACAGGAGCGCCGCTCTGTCTAACACGGCAGCCACTAGCCGCTTAAGTTTCAGGGAAGTGAAACGGAAGTGTCTCCATCTCATAGCCGCATTGCAGGTGCTCACTGGCTCATGTGGGACTGGCGGGTGCGGTGCTGGCAGCACCGAGCCTGTGTCATTATCTCCAAAAGCCCCTGGCAGCGCTGGCCTGGAGAGCGACTGGGAGGAGGGGTGTGGGACGCCACGCTGGTGACACCGTGCTGTCCTGAGGAGAGGGAACCAGGATCACGGTGCTGGGCCGGAGGGAGCAATGGTGCAGAGTCTGTGAGTAGGACCGAGCACGGGGTGCTTAGGGGACAAAGGGAAAGAGTGAGGGGAGAGGGGAGTGCGATGGGGGCTGGGGTCAGCGAGGGCCGCTGGGGCCTTGAGAAGAGCTTCTGCTTTAAGGGCATCAGCAAGCCATAGGGGGTCAAACAGGGGCGACAAGCTTTGTAAAATATATGGAGATGGATTCATGGGGGACAAGAGTGGAAGGAGGGAGACCGAATGAGAATGCCACCGCGTCAGAGAAGCCGTTGACTGTGATTAAGGTGATGAGGGGAGAGGGAGAGGTCCACCGATCATATCCAAACCTCAGGGACCTGGGTCAAGCCATCCCGGAAGCTGATTTCACTTGATCCCCAAGCCTCCTCCTTCTTTCCTCTTGGTTACTGGGCACGGACTTAGCCACCCAGCCGTGGCCCCTCCTCCCACAGCTGCCTGGACACCCGCAGGCCCTGTAAGGAGCGACCACTCAGACGGTTCCCCGGCTTCTCCAGGTGCCCTGGGTCCAGTTCCTTTTCCAGAGCTTGGCCCCTCTCACTGCATCCCCCGGACTGATAAGCTAGGCCCATCTAGTTGTCTTGTGTTTGTGGGAAGATGCGTCAAGTCATTTTGTGTTTTATTAACTTTCCCCACCATGAGAAACTTTCCTCACCATCTCCCAGCTGGCGAGCAGGAGACAGGAAGGCCCAGGTTGCACGGGGTCCAGGGGGCACGAGGAGAGAGGCTCAGGTTTCAGGAACTTCCTCTCTAAAGAGCAGGTGGCACAGCCATGCGTTATCACCTGAAGGGACCCTCCAAGGCCCTAGGAGTGGGACAGGCAGCCCACCCCGGAGGGGCTGCAGAGACCTGCCATCTGTTCATCGATGCCCGGAGCCTTAATTCTCTTGAGAACCTTTCCCTTGTCCTCGCTCCCAGGCCCCCGAGGATGGCTCCCTCTTCATCCTGATCGTCTGTGTTTCTCCTGCACTAGAATGCCAGCTCCCTGGCTGCTGTTGTCTTGTTCCCTTCTGCACACCCGTGGCTGAAGCTGCTTGGCACATGGGAGAGGCTCTCTGAGGTTCCAGAATGAATGTGCGGCCCAGGTGAGCATGTCAGGCGGCCCCACAGCACCCTGCCGCAGCCCCTGGGGCAGGGCCTGCACTTCTGTTGGCTAGGTACAGAAACGGAGGCTGAGAGAGTGAGGTCCCTCGCCCGAGGTTGCATGGGGAGGCCTGGGGGAGAGGTTGGGCGGGGCTGCCAGCACACTCCTTTCCACAGCACAGCTCTCCATTCACCCTCAGGCTCCGCTTCCTGCCCAGCCCCCTGGACACTCCCCCACCTGACACCCCCCTGCCTCGCATCTGGGGTGACTGCTGCTCGCTCAGGAGCACTTGCCTGTGGTGCGCCATGGTGGCCCGGAGCTCAGGGTCACCAGGAATGAAAGGCAGGTGAAGGCTTGCCCTCTGTGGCCTCAGCCTGGCCTGCTTATGGACCGCACCCTGGGCGTTTGGTGGCTCCACTGCCCTCCCGGGTGCACTCGGCCCGGCCCGCCCGGGGCCTACCTCAGCTGGCAGGACCAGCCGCCTCCCTGCAGATGCAGCTCATTGTCAGCAACCTGCCCAGCTTCTTTCCTGAGCAGCCCCGCCCAAGCGAGCCCCTCCCACTGAGGGCGGCTGGAGAGGTGCTGGAGGAAGGCGCCGCCTCCCTGCAATGGTCTGACAGCTCCAGAACCAAGGACCAGGGTCCCCCTCACTGTCAGATTCGAAACACACAGACTTACGGCTTTTAAAACGAGAGAGTGAACTGAATACATGCTATGAAAACACCATCTATAGTACCTTCCCAGGTCCTGACGCTCCGGGCACTGACTCATCTAACCTTCGCACTCTGACGGAAGCATGGCCATCAGCCATTTCAGACGGAGAACCTGAGGCCTGGGCGACTGGCCACGCTCCCAGAACTAGCGAGTGGGGGAGCAGGCCTCACTCCCAGCGTCACCCAGGCCCTCCTTGCTCTTAAACCAGTGCATCCAACAGCTCTCAGCGACGTGGAGGACCCAGACATCGCGCCGGAACCCACGCAGGGCCCAGAGGTTCTCCTGACTGTAGGTGGATTACCTCCCCTGACGAGGCCTCCGTTTTCTCATCTCAGAGGCACAGGGTCACCATGCCCCCCCAATGCCCCAGCGGCCGGTGGTTGTGACGTGAACCAGTGCCGGACGCACACTGTGCCGGCCGCCCTCAGAGCAGGTGTCCGGCGGTTATTAGTGTGACCCCCTTCTTGATCATGTTCCTTCGGAAGAGACCACATCAAAGTCACCTGCCCTTCCACAGGGGCTACGACAGAACTGGCTCAAAGACCTTTCATCAACCTCGTGACACAGTGTGTGGTGACAGCTGGATGTGCCGGCTCCAGCTGTGCCAGCGCTTTGTGCGAGGAGACTGCTCGGGAGAACCTGTTAACGCTGAACAGGCGCGCCCAGTGACAGAGCCACTGCCTTCCTGGGCGGCGCCCCCACAGGAATGGGCGCTTGAGTCCGCCTCGGAGACATACAGAGCTGCTGAGTGGCTTTACCTGTTTCCCAGAGCTGGGAGCGGGGGAGTGCGATATATTCACACCATGGTGTGTTTCCACACACTCACACTCACATTGGAAAATGAACCGCTAATAGTGCAGCCACAAGAACCAAGGTCAGAGACATGATATTGAGGGCAAGAAGCCAAACCAAAAGCCATACACAGGCTACGTGAGTCCATTCACAAAAATGCCAAGAAGAGACCAATGAATCGCGGTGCTGTAAGCCAGATGCAGCTGCCTCTGTGGCGGAGGGCGTGGTCGGGAAGGGCACAGGCCGCCACTATCCATAGTGAAAACTGGGTCACACCTGTGTGAGAATTCACTCCACACATATTTACTAAGTTCTCCGTGTGCCGTGGCTGAGCTGGCTCTGCAGAGGGAGCAGGACAGGCCTGGCCCTTCGCTCCCGAGTGGACACTGGTCCCTGCGCTCCCTCAGCACAGCGGCACTGGGCCTGCCCGCGGCACAGCTGGTGAAGGCTCTGGCGGGCCCCACGCCAGCCTTGCTGGCTGCTCCAGAGGGCCTCCCCGGCAGCAGCCCTCTGTGCCTGTCACCACTGGAGGGGCAGATGGGAGTGAGCTCCTGAGTGAACCCCAGCTTCCTGGACTCGCTGTGGGGGAGCCGGGGCGTGGCTGCCATCCCTCAGGGCCGTTGGAGGAGAGCCAGCCCTCCCCAGCCGCCTCGCCGAGACTCACATTGGCCCCCCTCCCCCATCTCCTTTCTCACTCTCCTGCTGCTGCTTCTTGGGACCATCTCCCCCCACAACGACATCTCCCCAAATCCTTGTCTCACAACCTGCTTTTAAGGAAACCCACCTGAGAGCTGCCATTGGCCACAGGGTGGGGGACCAGGACCTGGGGGAGCAGGACCAGGGGTGCGGGCCCAGCTGCCCCCAGGACGGCGATCCCCACCTTTTCCCTCTCACGGCGCACGGACTGATCACTGACTCTGCGGCACACCAAAGCGTATATTTTTTGCTGATCTGACAAAAAAAATGTGTAACGTGGATGCATTCCCACCAGATGCTGTTGTATTGGCCTTTCTTATCTGACGACCTGGGGAAAGGGGTCAATGCCCTGACTGCAGCCAGGTCTGCGTGTTTTACACACTCTTGCAGCACATCGTGTGCCACAGCTGCCGGCGGAGGTCACCGCTCAGGACAGCCGCCGTGGAGCTGCTCAGTTTCTGGAAGATTCTGCAGAGAGCAGGAGGCCTGGCTGCGGCCTCCGCTCGGCTCCGACTGCCCTCCAGTTCCGAGTCCCGAGCCCGAGCCCCTCTGTGGCCACAGGCACCTGGGCAGGAGGTCTAGCTCTCAGCAGGGCCGCACACTGGTCCTGGCCCAGGAGAGGAGGCACGTGCACCGAAGGATGGAGGCAGGTCACCACAGGGCGGCCGTCCAGAGCGCCCCTCCGATGGCCTGCTGCTTTCCCCTCCCCGAGCGCCCGACACACCCCGCGCTGGCCCGACGGGACTCTGACAGCTCGCGAGCACCGAGGCCAATGGCTTCCCGAAGGTCTCTGAGCTGCCAGCCTCCCGCTGCTCCCGTGGCCGCTGGGCTGTGGCCTTTGCAGGGACGGGCGGACTGCCCCGGGTTCGGTGTTGGGACGCAGGGCCCAGGCAGTGCGGGTGGGATTGGACGTCTGGGTGCAGGGGCCGAGCCCTTGAGGGCCAGGGCAGGGCTGCCGCCTGGCTCCAGCAACCGAGGGGCTCAGGTCTGTCCTGCGTGCTGGGAAGCCTCCAGCTCTGCATCAGCAGCCACAGGAAAGAGAATGGCTCCTAACGGGGTGGGCCTGGCAGAGGGGACCAGGCCTGGTGAGGGCACGAGGGCGGGCCTACTCAAGTGGCTGGGCGTTTATACGAGGGAGATTTGGACGCACAGGCAGACATGCACGGAGGGAGGGTCATGTGAAGAGACCAGGGAGAAGGCGGCCGCCTGCCAGCCCAGCAGAGAGGCCCTACCAGGCCCTCCTGTCCCGGCCGCAGGAGGAGCATCTGCGGAGGCCTCGACTGGGCCTCCACCCAGTGAGTTCCCGACTTGTGAGCTGCAGTCTGCGGTCTTCGTTCACAGCCCTGCGAGCAACACGTCTTTACTGAGCCACACAGCTGAGCGCTGAGCAACGCAGGCCACTTCCACACAGGTTTTTTTTCAATAAACATTGGACTTTGTTTTGGAGATTTGCAATAATTTGAAAAAACTCAGACAAACTGTGTGGCCTAGAAAAAAAATTGTGAAAAGGGCATGTCATAAAATAACAAAATATATCTAGATACTAGTCTATTTTATTATTTACGACCATAAAATACACACAAATCTACTCTAAAAAGTTCAAATGTATCAATATTTCACACAAAACCGCAGACCGTCCATGGCACCACCCACAGCCAAGAGCAGTGGGGACAAGCGTGGGCTGCGGCGGCAAGTCCCCTGCGAGCCTCAGCCGGCGCTGGCCCTCGCCACGCGCGCGCTCCGCCTGCCCAGCAAACTGCGTGTTGCAGGAAGTGATCTCTCCGAAGTCCTGGGCATGTTCATTGTGCTGTGCAATGCCATGGCCCGGGAACGGCACCGTGGGACCCAGGGGGCCACTGGGGCTGCGGGGAGTGCCCCCACGAAGCAGAGGAAAGTCCGCATGTGACAAGGAAAGGCTGGCCCGCTCGCCAGGCACGGTGGGCTGACGTCTGCGGCGCTGGCTGCCTGCCAGCTCAAGGCGAATGCCTCCGCCTCGGCCCCGGGCGCGGACAGCCGTGCCCGGAGCCGTTGCCGCAGCTCCACAGCCGGCGCCAAAGCCTGGCGCTTTCTGCAAAGCACCTTGTAACCTCTTGGGAAATGCAGCCTTTATGTGGGTGCTGGGTCGCTATGAGCAAGGCATACCTGTAGCTAATAAGATGTGGAAAAAAGTGAAGTCGTTATTTGACAACTTACAGCAAAAGGAAGGGAGGAGCGGGAGCTGAAGAATACACCCAGCAAAGGGTTGATTATCTTAGAAACAGATTTGGCTTAAAAGACCTCAGATAGCAGGAGAAGCAGTTCTGCCAACCAGGAGGCAGCAGGCGGGCCCCCAGCTGCCATGAAAAAAACCTGAGCAGGTTAATGGGCGTGCCTGTTCTGGGCGCGGGACGGGGCGGCGGGGAGACCACCTCAGACACGGATTAGTCAGTAGGGCGAGCACCTGGGCTCCAGGAGGAAGGAGTCGACTAAGTCGGCTGTTTCTGCACAAGCAGTGGGCGATGGCCAGGACGGCGTGTCCACGCAGCTGCTCAGCGAGGCTGCCGGGGAGGAGGCCTGGCCCGCGGAGCCCTCCGCAGTGGCCCCCGCGCTGCTGTGCCCGAGTCAGGAAGCGCCTGGCCGGGAAGCGCCTGTGGGAGTTGTTTGGGCATTGGACAAGGCCCCACCGGCCAGAACCCCACGGGGTCCACACCAAAGGCATGGGCGTGGGGCTCGTACCCTGCACAGTGTCTCTAGTTCAGCCTCCAGATGAGGGGCCGTAAGGATCTTTCGGGCTCATCACACGGACTCTCTGGGAAGGATGAGGACTGTCCATGCCAGGAAAGAGAACCCCAGCAGAGAGAACATCGTGGATGTCGGGCAGGATCACACACTGAAGATGCCACTGTTGTTCTAGAAAAGTCTGTGGAAACCGTCAGGCCCCAAGCAGCGCGTTCCTGCTGGCGACGCTGCGTCCAGTGCTGTGCCCGACTCACAGGGTCTGCGAGGAGCGGCCAGGAAGCCATCAAAGGGGAGGGGCGAAGGCTTTGAGCGTGAGTCTCGGCGCCCTGGGTGGTGCGGCTCAGTGGGTGAGGCGTAGTCCTGTGCACAAAAGGTGCCGGTTCAATTCCTGGTCCCGGGTTGTGGGCTTGATCCCTGGTAGGGGGTGTGCAGGAGGCAGCCAATCAATATTTCACTCTCATGTCAATGTTTCTCTCTCTCCCTTTCCCTTCAAAAATATGTTTAAATCAATTTAAAAAATTAGAAAATAAAGCTATGGGTCTTGGAGAAACTCAAGAGCTAGCAGATGCCACAGCAGAGGGATTGCCAGGAGGGACTTGACGGAGGTGAGTGCTTCAAACCACTGCGGACAGTGAGGAGGGCACGGAGGGCAGCGCCGGGAAAGACCCGACCCCGGCATCCGGCAGGAGGGCGCTGCCCGCTGGAGACTCCTTCTCTGCCATGCCCCCGCGGCACGGCCCGAGCCTAAAGCACAGGCAACACATGGCAAGGGAGGGGGGCACCGCATGGGAACGTTTCTACAGAAATGAAAAGGCAAAGGAGTCAGACAGCAGCTGTGATACCTTCCCATCAAGTTACGCGGCCCGTGCCTGCCTCTCTGCCTCCTCCTCCTGCTCAGCTGCTCCACGTGGGGCCCGCCTCGTGAACGCCAGAGTCACCCTGCCACGCAGGGAGCAACGTGTCTGCTGTGCGTGTGTCTGTGTGCGAAGCAGGCGGAGCGTGTGAGATGGCCCTGCATCTCGTCATCTTCGCCTAAGGATCCCCCACGTAGAGTATTGTGTGCAGGACCTGCACGGAAGGGGTAGAGTATTTCTACATAGACACATGGCGGGTGATGTTTAATACAGAATTAAGAATGTGTTAATTTTCTTACTGTTTTATAACTTTGTTTTCAAAGAATTACATTACTGTATGGTCTCCCCCCCCCCCCCCCCCCGCCTTTCTTTCTGTCGTAACTGGAGAAACTTCCATCAGCCTGTCAGCACAGGGAGGTTGTTTTGAAAAGTGCCGCCGCAATGCTTTCAAGACGACTATGAATGTGCCTGTAAAGCCGTAGCCATGACATTGCAGCCCTCCGCGCATTAGTGCGCGGGCTGAAACATCACGGGCAATCCTGTCCATCACGTTCGGCCACCGTAAAGCAATCGCTGCTGCTGCTTCGCTAGCCACGCATGAATCGTTAATGCCTCTATTGAATGTGCGTTCCTCTTCACTTTATCTTTTCATTTTTGATGTCTAATATTATAACATTTACAGTGCTTTGAGTCATATAAGACATTATATTGATGTAGGCACTGATGAGAAACGATTCATCTTGCAATAGTATCGATAAATACAGTGTAATACTGTAAATGTATTTTATGTTTCTTATGATTTTCTTAACATTTTCTTCTCTCTAGCTTACTTTATTGTAAGAATTCAGCATATAATACATATAACATATAAAATACGTGTTAATTGATTGTTTATGTGACTGGGAGGCCGCCCAATCAATACTAGGCTCGTTAAGTTTTAGGGGGATCAAAAGTTACACTTGGATTTTTTGTTTGTTTGTTTTTGTTTGTTTTGGGTCTTTTCTTCTCTCCCTCTCAGAGTTCTCACCAACACTTGGATTTTTTATTGCACCGGCAGGGGTGGGGTGCATGTAGGTACATGTGTTATTCCAGCATCAGTTCGCGCATCACAAAATTCACTCGTTTAAAGTGTACAGTGCAGTGCTTTTTATTCTGTTCATGGAGCTGAGCTGTGTAGCTGACACCGTGGTCTAGACGTGGAGCGGGTCCTTCGCTGCGGCAGGAAGCCCTGTGCCGTCACACCGTCGGCCGCCTCCTCCTCACCCGCCACTGGCACCGAAAAGCCTGCTTCCTCTCCCCACTGCCTGGCCTGGCCTGGACGTCTCATCTACATGGATCACACCATGTGGGCCTCTGCCACCGGCTTCTTTTGCTTCGCAGAATGTGTTCAAAGTTCACCCACGTTGTAGCATGTATTGGTATTTCGTTCCTTTTTAAGGCTAAACACATATCCCACTGCGAGGATATACCACATGTTATCCATCCACTCATCTGTTGATGTGTAATTTAATTTTGTTTTAGAAAGAGGATCTGAAGTATAACCAAATGTTCACATTGATTAAATCAGAGTCCTGAGAACATGGGTATTTGCTATGTTTCTTTATATTTTTCTGGATGTTTGAGAGGTTTCATCATTTTTAATGCTAATAAATATATTTTTATTTTATTTTTAATATTTTTAAAATACATACTAGAGAATGAGTCTCCTGCCATTGAAGAAAGAAAATAGTTGTTGACATACTAAAGGGGGAAATGGGTCTAATATTAAGGAACAAGAAAAAGGATTCCAGAACCTTCTTTCCCAGCGCGCTGTGGCTGTGACCAGTTCAGGGACAGCGTGGACACGCGCCTGGAGGACAGAGGTCACACCCTGTGGCCGTGACCGGTGCAGGGACAGCGTGGACACGCGCCTGGAGGACAGAGGTCACACCCTGTGGCCGTGACCGGTGCAGGGACAGCGTGGACACGCGCCTGGAGGACAGAGGTCACACCCTGTGGCCGTGACCGGTGCAGGGACAGCGTGGACACGCGCCTGAAGGACAGAGGTCACACCCTGTGCCCGTGACCGGTGCAGGGACAGCGTGGACACGCGCCCGGAGGACAGAGGTCACACCCTGTGCCCGTGACCGGTGCAGGGACAGCGTGGACACGCGCCCGGAGGACAGAGGTCACACCCTGTGGCCGTGACCGGTGCAGGGACAGCGTGGACACGCGCCTGGAGGACAGAGGTCACACCCTGTGGCCGTGACCGGTGCAGGGACAGCGTGGACACGCGCCTGGAGGACAGAGGTCACACCCTGTGGCCGTGACCGGTGCAGGGACAGCGTGGACATGCGCCTGGAGGACAGAGGTCATGCCTGCGGTGCTCTCAGCTGCCTTCCTGGCAGGGCCATGCTCACCTGGGTGGAAGGGGTCTCCGAGAGAGGGGAAGAAGCCAGCTGTGCTCCTGTGGCCTGGCCGCCAGTCCCCGCCCCTCCCTACCCGAGAGCTCCCTCCAGCCAGACTGTGGGAGCCCCTCTCATGCGCTGATGGGGAGCTCCCTGCCTCTGCCAACCACCAGGGCTTCCGCTAGAGAGACAGCCGAGTGGCGTGGCCCTTGTGAAGGTCTCAGAGGTCAAACTCATGGGGCCCCAGGCCTGGTCTGACTCATCACCGCTGCTCATGGACACCAGCACCGGCTTTATGTCTACTTCATCCTCCCAGCAGCTCCGAGGAGGACCCCAGGCCCCTATTCGAAAGGTGGGCCCAGGGGCCAACGCTCTGGCCAGAGGTCCATGCTGGGGAAGGCACGGCTGGGACTCAGATTTATTCTATACCCCACACCCTCCTTGTTAACTCACATCCCCAGCAGTAGATCAAAGGTCCTGGGACTCCCCAACTTAGCTGATCATGGGGTCCCAGTTCCCCTAACCCTTGGGAGCAGCCTCCAGGGCCCATCGTGGGCAGTGCCCCTGGGCCTCCCAGACCTGCTGGCTGATAGCAGCTTTTCCTGGGTGCTGGCAGCAGCAGTGAGACCAAGCTGTCTGTGTTTACCTGAGCCCTGAAGTTCATAGCAGGAAAATCTACATTTTTTTTTCACCCAAGGGGATGCCCTAACTGGCAACAATTGTGCCATGAGGGTGCCACGTAGGTGTGGTGGCTGATATGTCACCTGGGTCTAGCAGAGAGGAGCTCAGCCGCCCTGGGGATTGGAAGTGAAGGGCAAGGAAGGCCTCGCCCGCCCCCGCAGGCTGAGCCTGGAGGGACACCCACAGGCCAGTCCTTCAGGGACAAGCCCAGGAGCGGTTCTCCCGACTGAGCTTCAGAGAAAGCTGGGCTGGACTGGGAGGGGGCAGACAGGGCTGGGAGGGGGCAGATAGGGCCGGGAGGGGGGCAGACAGGGCCGGGAGGGGGCAGACAGGGCTGGGAGGGGGGCAGATAGGGCTGGGAGGGGGCAGACAGGGCTGGGAGGGGGCAGACAGGGCTGGGAGGGGGCAGACATGTCCTCCCCCAGGACTGGCTTCTTTCCTTGAAACCTTGCAATGAGACTGCCTCCCTGCTGGGCTGGGCCCTGGGAGCACTGCTGACATGCTGGCCCTGGCTCCTGTGGCCCACATGCCGGGCCCCTGGGGCCCTGGCCCACCAGCAGCTGAGCTGGCCCCGCCCACCATCAGAGTCCCAAGAATGTGGACACCTGGCCGCCCACAGTCTTATCAGCTCAGCCTCTCAGGATGGCTGGACAAAGGGCATGGGCCATGCTAGGACTCCTGGGATTCTGGGAATTTTCTCTGCTCCCAATCCAACCCGAAATTGCCAGATCTCAGAGCTGGAGGGACCTTCCTCTACCTCCTCACTGAAGGGGAAACTGAGGCCCAGCGGGGACAGGGACATGTCTGAGGGCAGGACAGTTTTGTCCGTGCAAGGGCCCTGCCCCCGACCTCTCCCAGGAAAGAGTGTGCACCGGCGCCCGGCCCGGGAGGCCGGCGGCAGAGGCTGGTGGTGGTGGGTTCCAGTAGAGGCACCCAACGCAGTTGGGAGCTTTCGGGCTCACCCAGATTTGCCAGGAGGATCTCAAAGGATCACCCACCCCCTTTAGGAGCCTGGAGGCCAGAGCCGGAGGCAGGCCGCCGGCCGCCGCGGAATGAGTGTGAGGAGCAGAGGCGAGGTCAGCGCGGAGGCGCCCAGGCTGGGCAGCCACCCTGGCCGCGGGGGTGGTGCTAGGCGTGGAGCCGAGAGAGGGGACGGCCCGGCGCCTCCAGTTCTCCATGTGCCCGTGCGTCGCGTGCCAGCCTAGTCCTTGGTTTGTCACCCTTGCGTGCTCTTGCCTCCTGGCCTGGGCGACGAGTGGCAAACAAAGCGAGAGCCGTGGGAGCCCAGGGAGGCCAGGCCTGGGCACCTGTTGAAGCCCCAGAAACGCCAGCCGCCAGGAGGTGTGGGCAAGTCCCCTCCCGGCCCGCCCCAACAGACCGAGATGCCTCCCTGCAGTGCCAGGCCAGCAGCTGCCAGGCGCCGGGTGCTGGGAAGGAGCCGCAGGGGCACTGGCTGAGCTCACCCAGGGCCGCCGTGCCTGGGGTGCCCTTTCCTCCGTGAGCCTCAGCTCCCTCCGTGGAGACAGGCGAGGGCAGAGGGGGGCAGTGAACGAGGCCACTCATCCGAAGCCGTGCACCCGCCTCATGCCCACGCCCCTCCCGTCGCATGTGGTGAGAGTGGCCCCAGCCTGGCTCCGAGTCGCCCGGCACAGGAGTGTGTTGACAAACAGGCTCCCTCTGGTCACCTTCCTGCTCAACCGCCTCCCCAGGCTCCTCAGCACACCTCGTGCCTGCGCTGGCCCAGGCCTCCCGCCCCCGGCCTGGCCCACTCCCCGCCTCCTCCTCTCAGTGCCTGCTGTCCCCGTGCCCGCACCCGCCCGCCAGGGCTGATGTTTGCAGGCCGCCCCTCTGAGCCCCTCCCCTGCCTGAGGCCTAGGCAGGCGCCTCTGTCCTGCCCGCACTCCGGGTGTTGGGAACTCGAACTCTCGCTCCACAGCTGGCGCCCATCTGGGCTGGATGGTCCATCAGACTGGGCGGCAGGCCCCAGCCCTGCCGTGCCCTCGGCCCCAGCCCGGCGGCCACACTGAGTGTGACATGATGACAACACATTCTGAAGTCCACCCAGGGTGCTGAGTACAGCAAGGGCTGCTCTGGAGAGTGGCACTGGGGAGGGGCCCTGGCCAGGGAGGGTCTGGCAGGGGAATACTGCCCTGGCCCTTCCTGCCACCTGCCCTGAGTGGGTGGGGGCTCCCCGTCTGGTTTGGCAGATTGCCGTGGACGGGCACTTAGCCTGCAGGACAGCCCTCCTGACCCCTGTGGCCGGGCTACAGGGGGAGAGGCCTGGGAGGTCT